AACAGAAGATTTGTTGCAATGTAGCTCCATAGGAACCATAAATAGAAACACGTGAAATATTAGCAAAAATAGAAATTTTAGGCGCAATAGAAAGGAATGCTGTAACCGGGGTGGGTGAACCCTCATAGATATCAGGTGCCCACATATATAGAGTCAAAAGAGATATGGAGTCCGAAGGGGAGGGGGGTTTTCTTCGGGGCTCGAGAGATGGAATAGATAGGGCCAAAAAAGTTTTTAATTCGCCGCTGGGGAATTCACACGAAAGGGAACGAAGAATTCTCGACGACAAAAAAAGTGCTCTCTGAACCGAACGTGAAAGTAGTTTTCCATCAGACGGCTGTTCCCGTAACTCCACTCTCCACTTGGATTATATATCCAAAAAGGTCCGCTCTTGGCCATTCCACACGCTGCCTAGCAGAGGCGTGGTTATCTCAAGTGGATTCTCTCTTTTTTAGTAGATGCCGAACCTGCTGCCCCATTGACTAAGAAGGGGGCGGACGCAGCAGCTACATGGACCCCTTCCTTTCTGTTGTTGCCAGCGCTTTCCCGGGCCGAGATATAAAGGGCAGGCATTCGGGGAACCCAAAGAAGTCTTTCGACTTGATTCATAGATTGAATCAATGATAGATAGAAAAAAGATATCTCGTTCATCTATCTTTTTTTTTCTCTACTCTAAAGAGGAATAGAATAGACATCCCCTTAGATGTCTATGTATCCTTTATCCCCATTTTTTTTAGAGATAGCAGATAAGATATAACGCTCTAAAAAAAAATGGAGAGAGAAAGAGCAGATGGATCCTATCCCCTATATCGAACACTAAATCCTATCTATTGATAGAAAGATCTTCGTAAAATACCGGACTTTGCCTTTTTTTTAGGAATTTTTCATTCCTCATACTCATATCCAAGGCAGCTTACCACAAGCACCCCACCCCATACGACTAGTTGGGGTTCGCCTTTTTAATCAAACAAAGTCAGTATAAGTAGTAGGGGCTTCATAGCTACTTTCATTCTAAAGGAAACCGAAGAACCAACCTTTCAATCAATAGGAGCCCTACTTCCCTCTTTGCGACCTCATCACTTCAAAGCGCAAACCAATTTCTTTCTTAGTCACCGGGCGGAGCGCACCTTTGGTACTTTGCTTAAGTAGGGCGAGCTTTTTGTTTGATAGTGACTTCTTTCGTTTGGTAGGGCGACGAAAGAAAGGCTACTTCAATCTAAAATTTGAAACAGCCGGAAACTTAGGGTCGCCTTTGGAAGCGTTTGCCGGTAACCAAAGCGTCACGACATAATCAAAAGGAAGGAGTGACGCTGACTGAATCCAATCCATAAACCCGGAAACGAAAAAAAGTTCGTTCCCTTTCGAAGAGCGGCATCTTTCACTTTTGCTTTGCCTTAGACTCTATTGGAACAAAGCAAAGAAGGAGGCGGAATCATCGCAAAGGCCTAAGAAGGTACTAAAGGTCCTCGGACTTCCAGGCGGTTTTTCATCTTTGACAGCTGTTCACCGTTGGATCTCGCTCTACGATAGAAAATCAATTAAAGCCTCTATGTATCCTAATTGCGCCAAGCAAGATTGTCCTTTCTCCATTCCATTTGTTCCAATAGAGTCTAAGTAACATGCAAAAGTGGGTTCCTATGCTTTCCTACTGACTTTACAACGAAAAAATGGATTTAATTAGCGTCACTCCTTCCTTTTGATTATGTCGTGACGCTTGGTTACTTTAAAGGGAAGGCAAACGCTTCCAAAGGCGATCAATTTTTTTTTTTTTCCCTCTCGAGTTTCCGGCTGTTTCCTAGATTGAAGTAGCCTTTCTTTCGTCGCCCACAGTTTTGATAAGCAAACGAAAGAAGTCACTATAAACAAAAAGCTCGCCCTACTTAAGCAAAGTACCAAAGGTGCGCTCCGCCCACTTTATATATGAAAGAAATTGGTTTGCGCTTTGAAGTGATGAGGTCGCGAGGGAGAAAATGGGGTGGCTTGTGGTAAGCTGCCTTGGATATGAGTATGAGGAATGAAAAATTCCTAAAAAAAAGGCAAAGTCCGGTATTTTACGAAGATCCTTCTATCAATAGATAGGATTTAGTGAGGGGATATCCATCTACTCTTTCTCTCTCCATTTTTTTAGAGCATTATATCTTATCTGCTATCTCTAAAAAAAATTGGGATAAAGGATACATAGACATCTTAGGGGATGTCTATTCTATTCCTCTTTAGAGTAGAGAAAAAAAAAGATAGATGAACGAGATATCTTTTTTCTGCATTGATTCAATCTATGAATCAAGTCGAAAGACTTCTTTGGGTTCCCGAAGCCCCGAATGGATTGTGGATCGTTTCTGCCAACGAAATGAACGCGGAGCCCGTTCCGAATGCTTCTCCGATCCGGAAGTTCTCGCGAAGAGAATAAGATGCTGCTCCCCCTCCCTCTGTCTTTTCTCGCTTTGCTAATCTTCCCTTCTAACGCCGGGCGGCGGCGGGCGCGGGAGGAAGAAACCTAAGAGAAGACGCTCTTAGGTTTCTTTTTTTTCAGTGCAACACAGGAAAGGCGCCCTCTTTTTTTCATCCCTGCAGCTTTCCAGAAACCAAACCCACCCCCTATTTGAATAAGGCTGGAAAGAATGCCCGCCAAGTTCAGATCAGGGAATGCTTCCCCCAACCATGAAAGGAAAGGCTCGACGAAGGGAGGGAGATGCGGCGGGGGAAGGAAAACGCTTTCGGAGATCGATCTTTTTTTTTTTCATCGAAAACGAAGAAGGCCGAGGATGGCCTACGGTGCGTGTTATCTGAAGGGAACACGCTTTTTCGACCGCGGTGGTATGATTGCCGGGCCCTCTCCTCGTTCCGCCCGCTGGCCTATTGGGATAGCAGCCTTCGGGCTTTGCCTGCCCTTTATATCTCGGCCCGGGAAAGCGCTGGCAACAACAGAAAGGAAGGGGTCCATGTAGCTGCTGCGTCCGCCCCCTTCTTAGTCAATGGGGCAGCAGGTTCGGCATCTACTAAAAAAGAGAGAATCCACTTGAGATAACCACGCCTCTGCTAGGCAGCGTGTGGAATGGCCAAGAGCGGACCTTTTTGGATATATAATCCAAGTGGAGAGTGGAGTTACGGGAACAGCCGTCTGATGGAAAACTACTTTCACGTTCGGTTCAGAGAGCACTTTTTTTGTCGTCGAGAATTCTTCGTTCCCTTTCGTGTGAATTCCCCAGCGGCGAATTAAAAACTTTTTTGGCCCTATCTATTCCATCTCTCGAGCCCCGAAGAAAACCCCCCTCCCCTTCGGACTCCATATCTCTTTTGACTCTATATATGTGGGCACCTGATATCTATGAGGGTTCACCCACCCCGGTTACAGCATTCCTTTCTATTGCGCCTAAAATTTCTATTTTTGCTAATATTTCACGTGTTTCTATTTATGGTTCCTATGGAGCTACATTGCAACAAATCTTCTGTTTCTGCAGCATTGCTTCTATGATTTTAGGAGCACTGGCCGCCATGGCCCAAACGAAAGTCAAAAGACCTCTAGCTCATAGTTCAATTGGACATGTAGGTTATATTCGTACTGGTTTCTCATGTGGAACCATAAACGGAATTCAATCACTACTAATTGGTATCTTAATTTATGCATTAATGACGATAGATGCATTCGCCATAGTTTTAGCATTACGGCAAACCCGTGTCAAATATATGGCAGATTTGGGCGCTCTAGCCAAAACGAATCCTATTTCGGCTATTACCTTCTCCATGACTATGTTCTCATACGTAGGAATACCCCCGTTAGCCGGCTTTTGTAGCAAATTCTATTTGTTCTTCGCCGCTTTGGGTTGTGGGGCTTACTTCCTAGCCCCAGTGGGAGTAGTGACTAGCGTTATAGGTTGTTGGGCGGCCGGAAGGTTGCCACGAGTCGAGTCATGAAACGAGTCCACAATCACTACACGAGATCCTAATTGAAGTTGGCCTTAGGTGTCAAAAAAAAAAGGACTCCCAGTTACTGCGCGCGATCGTATACTGAGGTGCTCCCCGCCGGTTGTTGGAACGACGCGAGCCGGGCCTCCATTCAGAAAGATGAAGGGTCAAAACAAAAGTCAAAATAGGGGGTTACAAATTCCCCATCTCATTGGGGGCGAAAAATGAATCGACATCTCGATGTGATACAGCCTTTTCTATTTTCGTTGGGAAAGAACGGCGAAGTCCATCCGAACCGTCCAATGAAGAATAAGAGGAGAGCAAAGCGCCAATGGCGCGCGAAGCGCATGCGAAACGGGCACGGATAAAAGTGTGGAGGATAAGCAGCCGAGCTCATTCCCTTCGCTTCCTGGGCCCAAAGCAGTGCAGTCTTTCCTGGCCAAATCAAGGATTTGGGGCTTCTTGCTACGCTACTTAACTATAGAAATCCATTTTTTTTAGTCATATATATATATTAATAGAAAGATAGATCCATCCATCTATCCTATCCGATTTAGATTTTTATATCTAAAAAAGAATCGATTTCATTCAACGTTTGATTCAAAGAACTGCGCTTAGCCCACCCGCTCATGAAACGGCTCTGCTGCAATGGATGGCAGAGGGTCCGTAGTACCCAAAGCACTGGAGTGGTCCAGTAGCCGGGAAGGGGCCTAGAAGTGCCTACTACTACACCACACTACACTCGGCTCTACACATTTAGAGAGCTAACCCCTGTCCAGTCCCTGGCAGAGTGAAGGGGGCTTCCATCCTTATTCCCTATCCCCATCTTCGCCCAGGCTAAAGGGGCCTTACTTATTCAGGGGGGAGAGTGGAGCCCCGATAAGCACTGTTTAGAGGAAGATCCTTGGCCCCTCCTCATTCTCTACAGGGTTCCAAACCTTTCTTCAACATAGGTGACAACGAGCGGGGCAGAGATGGAAGAGATCGAACACGAGAATAAGAAGCAAGCTCGCCTTCCTTTTTTATCATTTTGATAGAGAGGGATGGATAAAGTGGACAAAACAGACTCGCATTTCCAGTCGAAAAGATGGGTTCCT